CTTATAATTATAATGATTACTACTCAATTATAACATCCATTATAACCATTAGTATTAATTAAATAATTTGAAATTTAATTATATAATATTAAATATAGATTTATAGTATGATTATTTAATTCATTATATAACATTATAAATAATTTTACAATACTTAATTAAATGATAACAATTTATTAATTATAATATTACATTATAATAAACCCTAAACCCAATAGCATATTTGTTAGGGGTGTATTTGTAAACTTTTAAGGATTTTTGTCATTTTTTAAACTAATAGGGGGTAATTGTTTTTATAGGGTACCCCGGAAAAGAACGGAACCTGCATTTTAGGTTCTGGTTCCTTGAATTGAAGAACCTGCACTGCGCGATTCGGTTTCGGTTCCTTTTTTGGGAACATGCACTGTGCGGTTCCGGTTCCAGTTCCCTTGGAAAATGGAGGGTACCCGGAACCGCTCACCCTACTAGAAGAGAGTTTGGTTGCAGATTTAGGGAGGTACATAGGGTAACGTAACCTGAGTTGTTAAATCTATTTGGTCCATGAAGTATGGCAAAGCAACATAAGATCCAGTAAAATCTGATAATAACACTTAGGGCCGTGTGGTAGGTTATTTAAAAAATGTTATTTTGAAAAACATTTGAATATGATAAGACATGATTGAATAAAATAGGATAGGGTTCTGAGAATGTGTTTTGTATATATTGAAAATTATGTAGAGTTGGATAAAATACTGAATAATTGTTTGGATTTTATGAAAACATTTTCTGAAAATTTAAATTATTTTAACTCCCTACATTATTAATTTAGATAAACACCCTCACAATAAAACTTTAAATTTAACAAAAACACCCCCATAATAAAACTTTAAAAATTAACAACACCCCCCCCCCCCCCACCACAAAAAAAAAAAAGAAAAATAAAGTTGTCAACGCGGCCAAAATATGGCTATCGTCAACGGCAATCTGGTCATCAACGAAGGCCGGATTTTGGGCATAAATCTTGCCGGAAACTATAAGATCTATGCAAACCGACTAAATCCAGCCGATTGTGCATCGCTTTGGCGGTGTTTGTTGGCGGTCGTCAGTGGCTTGGGTGGGTGGGTGGGGTGTGTTTTGTTAATTTATAAATTTTTTATTGTGAAATGTAATTATTTTTAGTTGAATAAAGTTGGAAAAAAGTTATAATAGGATAATAAAAAACAAGTCCGACCCACTTTTCATTTTCAAAAAAAAAAAATCTTATTTGATTCGGATTAATTTCCAAAATAATGATCACAATAAGTAAAAAATACATATTCTTTTTTTTTTTCAATCCAAATAGGATAACAGAAAAATGATTCTAAAGAGTGAAAAAACAGGGGGTTATATTATTGGAAGGTGGCACCTTTTTTCGTCTTTATAAAGTCTAAAATACCCCTAATATTTTCTAATGTAAATGAATAAAATTAATAAAATTATAAAACAAATAAATGGCTCCTAACTGCAAATTTGGTAAAAATTAAGAACAATTTCATTGATTTTAAGAAAAATAAAAATTAACAAATTAAGGATATGTTAGACTAAAAAAAAAAAAAAAAAAAAAACCAAAGGTTTATATTGATAAGAACCTAAATACTTGAGGGATCAAAATGGATTTATTATAGTGTAAAGTTATTGTTGTATGAGATTAGAGAGTTTATAACAATTTCCTCTTCAAGGTTTAGAGAAAGTAACAAATGAACCAAGGGTTTCCAAAGGTAATAGATGTACACCAAAGTCAATACTTTTGATGTCATAGTTCTGGTTGTGAAGATACATTGTTAGGTGTTCCCTTTTTTTTTTTTTTCTCATTGAGGTTGAATCTAAATATGTGCTCGAAAGATAGTTGTCTATATACTGATAAGGGATGTATGGATTATCGAGAAGAGATGAGTCGTGATGGTCTCCCTCAAACCAACTGAATCCCATGAGTGAATACAAAGTTAGATCTCACCTGAATCGTCCCAAATAAAAGCTCCAATAATTTTTATCTAATTATATATTTTTTTTATTTTAATTATATAAAAATTTGAAAAAATAAAAACTAAAAAGAAGTTGAAACTTTGTTTCAAAAAGATTTTAACATCATTTATCTTATTATATAGAGGGAAGAGGTATAAATGACAGCTTAAAATTGAAGGGAGAGGGAAAGAATGAGATTTTTAATTGTGGTTTATTTACATTTTTTTTAAATGTTATTTTATTAATTTTTAATTTAAGTATGAGGATGGTTTTGGGTTTGGGGTGTGTTTGGTTGCGGGTTTAGGGATGTACGTGGGGTGGCATAGGATTTTATGGGATTACAGTAGGCCAACGGGGATCTTTTTAGACTTTTTGGACGTTTTGTGGTGATTTAATTAATAGGAGAGAGTGTATTATTTAGTGTGATATTGACAAATGTTGAATGCTCCGGGTCTTTTGGGGGAAGTGGTATTAGTATTATCAAAAAAAGTTAAATAATAAAATATTATTATTTTAAAAATATTATTTTATATTTTTTAATTTTTTTAAATTTTTTAAATTTGTTAATTTAACTAAATACTCTTAAATATTTTTTTTTAGAAATTACAAAAATACTCTAACTAACCTCCAACGGTGGTGGTTGACTGTCCGTATTTAATGGGCAGATTGGAAGTATTTTTGTTAATTTTTAATATTTTATTATATAAATGTTTAGTAAATAAATAAACATAAGGGATATTTTTGTTAATTTTCAAATTCTACATTGTAATACTCGTCCAATTTAATTTTTTTCAAAAGATTATTCTAAAAACTATCAGAATAATGAACCAAACGGAATCGAAACTTTTATGAACATTTTTTAATATGTATTATTTACGACAAATTTAGCTGTAAACTCAAGTGATTACGAACTATATTTTTAATAAATAAATTTACCATTGTATAATACTATATTTGATATTTTAGCATTTTGAGAAGGGATTATCCTATATATTTTTAATAAATATTAGACTATTTTTTCGACCTAATACAATCTAATAAACTTGACAACCACAGTGGAGATAATTATTTTTAATAATTACCCAACAATTTCTAAACCGTTAGATTAATAAATTCGAATCTACATATAATCAAATCTCGTACATGGATTAAAACAAATTTATAAAAGTGTTAATAATTTTATGTGTTTGATAATACAGTTTAGAGACAGTATTTTAAATTAAAACAACTAAATACATTAAATATAATATAAAGTACTTTGAATGAAATTTATTGTAAGGCATTGAGTTATACATAGCATGTGAGTTACATTATTTAATTAATAAATTGTACCATATTTAATATTTTATGTAACGGTTCATAACCTGTCATTAAGAGATTTACAATTTTATGACATTTATATGATAATTTATTTGTATTTTAAATTAATGTAATTAAAATTTTAAAAGGGTTCTTTTTATTTTATTTTGAAAAACAAAAAACAAAAATAATTTTTTTTAATTTTAATGTTGGTGACAGCCAAGAAAATAGATTTGATTTGATGAGTCATGTAGGAAATTATGGAATGATTAAATATTATTTAATTCGCTTCATTTATTTACAGTTGTTAGACCATCTCCAACCCATTGCACCAATTTAGTGCAAAATTGCACCAAATTAGTGTAAAATTTGGTGCAAAACATTATTCCATCTCCAACCCATAACACCAAATATTGCACAAAAAAGAATATTCCTTAGAATATTCTTTTTTTCTTTTATTGTAATAATCAACAATTAATCTATTTCACTCATTATTTTTGTATATATTAATTAAATATTGGGAATGATATTTTTATTAAATAATAATTATTTTGAAAATTATACTAATTTAATAGAATTAAGCATTTATTTAATCAAATAAACATTACATTTAATATAGAAAAGTCTCGGACCCATTAGGAAGAAGTTTATCTCTAATGTTAAACACAAGAACGCCCAGAAAACTTGCTATGGGGCCACCCGGTTCCTCCATTCTCCAAAAATGCCTCATGAACATAACCTTCATCTGCATTTCTATGTAATCATCTCCACTATTATTACCTCCACCACCATTTTCACCCTGAGTCAGCAAAGAAAATAAGTACGTAAGATATCTATGAGAACATATCCTCAAGACAATCCATATAGAAAGTTAAATATAAGGCAAATAACCCAATTCCTAGCCCCAAGCCAAACTCCTTTAACTATTACTAAACATTTTCACACTCACAATTTATCTCTGCATTAAACTAAACCGATACTAAACATTTTCACACTCACACGCCAAGGTATGAAAGCATATAATTAACTCATAAAAAGCCCCACATTTGGTAGCTTTTCTTATTATGTATTACAGAATTCTCAGAATATAAACTCATGAACTTAATGCTCATTCTACTCACTGTTGCTATTATACTTGAGTTTATAAAATCATTAAAACATGATGAGGCAAGATCAAGATCAAACCTAGCTGAGAGGTCAGCTACTCTATAGCCCAAGCAACAATATGATGAATAAATATAGAGTGTGCAAATGTCTTTTATTCTTACAAGACACAAACTAATTAATTGTTTGACATATCAAAACTCTTAATACATGGTATAAAAGAACATGACTATTGAGTATCACAGGAAGATGTGAAGGTCAAAAGGCAATTTAAAAGTTCCTTTACTTCAAAAGGTAGACTAACCTCCTTATCGCCAAGATGCCAATTGGCCAAATCAGCAGTTCTGCACCTTTTCCTTAATTCATACAACCGCCTTTTCTCCTTTTTAGCAGCATCTTGCTTATAACACCTCTGAGTTCCAAGGGCAATACGCCATTGCCGGCGTAACAAGGCTGGATCCCTATGCGCGCAGAAATTTCTACAGACACCCAATCAAGTTAAAAACCTTCAATCCCTGATAATTAAAGTTGCATTAAATTCACATGACTCTAATAAGGATGACAAAAGAAGACTCCATAGAAAAAGAAAAAAGCATTAAAAAAGCGCCATAAAATCACCTCCGGAATACATCCTATCTCTTTTGCAGTCAATGGGAGGTTTTAAACCTTCGAACATCCTGCATTGATAATCAAGAGTTTAAAAACATTTTCACCAATCAAATTATTGCCCAACTGCATATATGATGCTAAATACAGGTTCGTTAATGCCAAACCCTTTCAGCCAAAAAATCTAATTAACCATCCACTACTTGCAATATTGTACAGCATAACAATACCATCAGCATTTACAAAATCATCACACCAGTATTGCCTTTTACCCATTCAACATGCTAGATGATTATTCCACTAATTAAGCAGGCAGATCCATCAGGCTGCTTAGAATTAACAGATTATGACAATATATCATTTCATCACTGGTATCTTTTGGAACAGACTTGTTTAAGTCATAGATAACAGCGGTATAATAAATTTTGGTAATCATGATGTTCTTTAAAACTATGAAAAGAATATATGAAAGTACGAGAGAGAGAGCGATACACCACAAATTGAGTGAGAAAGGTTACCAAACCTAGTGTACTTAAAAGAACTGAGATAAGAATAGATTAATTTTTTTCTTCTAAGCAAGATATATTTATATACCTTAATGGGATTTTCTGGTGCTTTAGATGAGCAACGATTTTTCTGCCTAACAAATATCTGCCAAACAAAAGGACATGTCAGATAAATACAATTATCTCCTATTTACAACAGTAATTCCCAACATTAATTCAATCCCAAGAACACTCCTTCAGATACCATTCGAAGAATATTAACTGATAAACAATGCAAGTCTTGATCAGCAAGACATTTATAAAAGCTAAGAATCATTAGTCCAACAACATCCATATGGAAAATGCAGCATGGAGTGACCTATCAATCCAACCCACACAAAAACTAAATTCCCAAAATTAAAGCTCAACAAACATTTTCTCATCACAAGAAATCACACCTTAACCACACATGAAAAGATAATCGCATTTATTATTATTACCAAGGTAAAATACTAGCTCTCATAACTCAATGGCATACTCACAGTTCTGGACAACTAGAACATGCTATTTCACTCACTTTAGTTGACAATTTAACATTCTTTTACACTGAGACCCCAAATCAGTATCTCAAAAGAATATATACAGAATGTCACATTATATCACAAAGGAGTTGTGAACCACAGGGAGGTTAGCAACATCAGTATGCCATAAATGTCAATGTCCTCTACTCATTAGACAACAAGCAACACAACAAACAAAGAGAGTTTCTCTTAATTATTACAGCAAATGCTAAGGCTTTCATCAAAAAAATTTCAATGTATCACTGCAGTAATTTAATCCTTGAGTAGAGGAAGTACCACATCTTTTAATGGATGAAAAAAAAAAAAAAAACATAGTGAGACCTTGATGCTTCTGAAAATAATGTTCATGAATTTTAACTAGGAAGGGTCTTATAAAATAGTACTAATATATCTATATCATAAGCCACTAGCCAAATAATATTTGAAAGCTAGTCACCAGAACACCCATTTCAGAAGTAAATACTACTTTTCTATACATATAGCAGTTTGGGGGGGGAAAAAGAGTGAAGCGACTTGCCTAGTCTTTGCTACAGCAATTATTCCTTTATTCCTTAGCAGAAAGTGCATGACTTATGGACACCACATGAAATGACAAGTTTACAGTTTTTTTTAAATAAAAATTACCAGGAAATGTTGTACTTGTTATACAGAACAAGGTATAGCTACCTGATGTTTAGTTTTGCAAGGAAGAAAGCGTTGCTGAATTGCCTTCCAGTCTGAATTATATTCCATCATCCCCAGTGCAACAATCTGTATTAAATTTCAATATAAACAGAAAAATTAGAAGAAACCGGTTTAGCAAAGAAGTCAGTCAATCACCAAAGAAAAGGCAAAGAAGCATGAAACTCACTCATCCTCTGCATCAGTAAAAAGCACCCGATTTGCAATGGCATAGAGGGTGGCTTGTGTGAAATAATGTGGATTAAAAAAGGGAAAAAACCTCTGCACTAACTTGGAAATTTCCTTAGGGACTAAAGCAACTGATTGCTTTTTTGTACTTTCGACAAGTGCAACTGCCAGTGACTTCTTTGTTGGTTGCTCACTGGGAGAAGATGGTACTGTGTTGGTAGATGAGGGAGTTTTTTCTTTTGAAGCTTCAGCATTAGCTTGAGCAATGATGTAAAAGGAAAAGGGAACAAAGGTTCTCTTTCAAAGCAAGTATCAGAACTGAATTCCAAACCGTTTTCGATACTCTTGGATGGCTGTCAGAAAAATAATTAATCAATGATAACATTTCAAAAGTGAACCTGACAAAAAGCAAATCATTGCAAAATCATGAAGAATAAATTTGATACTTCTACATGACATACCAGTATAAACTTCGTCCATATATTTTCCAGCTAATTTAAGCGGAGCTACATCCAGAACAGATAGAACCGGACCACTTACTGATGGCACCCAAAAATAGCCCTTTAAAGTTTGAGAAATGAATCAAGGCGCTTTGTCCTGGGCCAAACTGAGGACTGTATCTGGCACAGATGAACAAGTGTAAGGAGGACGGAAGTAAATATCAGGATACGGCTCACTTCTGAATGCTATTGCTTCATCACGTTTGTGAAGCATCTCAAAAATCAATCCTTGAGCTTGGAGGCAATATGCTGGCGGAAGAATCAGAATAGAAGTGAAAACACTTGATAAAGAAGTTGCACATGCTCATGCATTAAACAGTGCAACTGGGCTATCTGATGTGGAGTGAAGCCATTGATTAAGGTATCTTCTGCTGTGGAAGATTGCAGGTTGAGCAGTCCCAGTGTACCAAAGTTTTCCATTAACAGAAGGGAAAGGGACAACTGGCAGTACATTAGGCAAAACTGGTAGAGGGGACGCAATGGCCTCTTTGTCTGTTCTAGAAGCTTTTTTATATTGTGCAGAGGCTTTTTGGCGTCTATTCTGCCTAGTCTCTGCCCGTCGTCCAGCGCTCACTTTTTCGTTTTTCTCTGTTATACCTTCATCATAGTCACTCTCAAGCATCTCTTCAAGCTCTATCTCAAATCTGCATCATTATCCTCATCTTCATCAATATTTTCATTCCCTTGGGTTGACAAGCCATCACCATCTTCACCCTTCAATACAGCAGCAAGGAACTTCCGATACTCTTCTTCATCGTCAACATTTGAAGGTCATCATCATCATCTGTTTCCTGAAGAAATGCCTCAAGCTCATCAAGTGTGAAACTTGCAAGTGAATACCTGGCCCTAGTGCGCCTACAGATGGCATCCTCATCATCTAATATCCATCATGGGCTTCACAAGTTTGTAGTATTACCCAGATCTCCTACCATGCCTTCTAAACCTCAACCCCACTGCTATTGAGTCATTCTCCTTTTCTCCAACAGCTTCTGCTTCTGATTGGAGATTATAAAATTTTCTCTCTTAGTTTTTCTAGAACATCCTTCTGCGTTCAGTTTTTTCACATGGTCCTTTAGAAGAAACTTTCGCTTGCATCGTGATTTCCTCCTCAGCATGGTCAGAACTCCAACATTTCAGAGCTCAAGCTTGAAGAGCTTCTGGTGAAGAGTTCCTTTCAAAAGGGATTAAAATCTACATCTTCTTCCTCATCCTCTTCTTCATCCTCATCCTCAGGATTCATTGGACCTATACTGCATCTGGCGGTGTATCATTTCACTAACCACCCAACCTCAGTCAATTGTTGATTTGCAGTCAAAGGCTTTTGGACAAAGAAATATACTAATAGCAGATAATAACTTCAAAGATGTCTATAATTGCTAACAGATGCAAGCATCCATGAGAGACAATCAAAGCATCACTTGCCACCCTGAACCAAGTAAAGAAAGCATAAATGAACAAACAATTTGTAAAATAACACCAATTAACAATCAACGCTACCCATGCACGTGCACATCTTCATCCTAAATTGCACATAAATCTCAGTGACATCAACATTTAAAAAAGATATATAATAATTTCCAATCAGCAACTAATATTTCTACATCCAGACATAACCAGAAATCCTCCAAACTCATTAGCAAACTTAAGTTCAAAACTAGACCCAAAAATGAATCTTCTACAAATACACAAATAAACCTAATTGAAATTTCCAATAATCAAGGAATGAAGTCACTAAGCCCCACAACATAAATTTTCAAAGGGGTTCTCTTCCTGACACTCAGTAGAGATGTCAAAAACTGAACTTAATAAAACCCATAAAAATAAATAAAAAAAGGCCAAAACCTTCAAATGTCCTCCTATTTCCAACCAATAGACACAAAAAACAGCACTCATACAAAACCCCACTAAAGTAAACACATTAAATCCAATAAAAAACCATTATTCAAAAACAGTTAGACATTGAGAGTTTTTTCTCGACATTTTCCGTAACCTTTGAGGGGAAGGGGAAACACTGACATAAGTCAGCCTTTGAGTAAAAGTCTTGTGCGTATTGAACCATAAAATGTGAAGCTCACTTCGTCCAAAATTTTGGAACCTATTGGAACTAGAGTGAGAGAATTAAAAATCTCAGTTGTCACATAAAAACCACCTGAAGGAAGAGGGTAAAACACTGACATAAAGTCAGCCTTATAAGTAAAGTCTTGTGCGTATTGAACCATAAAATTGAACCTCACTTCGTTCAAAATTTTGGAGCCTAGAGAATTAAAATCTCAGTTGTCACATGAAAAACACTTGAAGAAAGAGCTTCAAATCTGCCCCTTTTCCCTCTACTTTATAATACCTGATTAATAATAATCAAACTAGTGCTGCCATTAGAGAGAATGGCTCTAAACCCAATAGTCAAACGTTTAATAGCCCTCATTTTCACTCACTTTCTGGACACAAAAAGGAAATTCACATAAGAGACAACTAAAATACACTAATGCATAAACCCATAAAACCCCAAAAACAGATAACAATTCCAATACCCTCGTCTCAAGCAATTCTAAAAGCAACAAATACTTAACAGTTAAGAAAAATAAAAAACAGAAAACACGCAAACTTCCCCTTGCAATTAACTTTCCGCAAGCACCACGCAAGCAACTCCAGCGACACCAATTTTCCGCTCATTTTCAGTAACTTTCTCAAGAAAAGAGAGAGACAATGCTAGAGGAAAACAAAGAATAAAATAGCTCATCCTCCTTCAGAACCCCCACAATTAACCCTAAACTAAACCACACTCAACAATTCCAACAAACGCAAATTATCCCTTCCTATCCGCAACTTCCTCAGAACACCACACATCCTCCACTACACCCAAACATTCCGCACAACCACCAATTATCCCTCTAACTTTCTCGGGAAACAAACAGAAACAGAAACCAAAAGCGGAGAAAGGAAATGCTCACTTCTTCCTTAGATCCGGTCCGTAGAAGGCCGCAACCGTGGCGTCAAGCAAGGCGACGTCAATCGGCTGGCTCAAATCTCGGCTTCTGCCGCCATGCGGTGAAATGAAATCGATAGTAATCTCAGTTGCAAGACAACACTGTCGAGAGAGCAAGCGACTGTCAAGTAGTAAACCATAGAAGGTGTACGGACGAAGCGAAACCCTAAGAGAGAGAAAACGAAAACAAAAAAATAAAAAGGAGAAATTCGAAAAAGGAAAGACGAAGATTTTGATTCGAGTGGTTGTAGAGAGAGAAGGAGAGAGGAGAGTGTTAGGAAGAGTCCACAGACTCACAGAGGTTTTATATAGAGACAGAGCGAGAGAGGGAGAGATGGAGAGAGCTTAAAAATGAAGCACAGAGGAGAGAATGAGACTTTGAATTGTGTTTTATTTACGATTTTGCTGCTTTTTTCTTTTTTTAAATGTTTTTTAATTAATTAATTTTTTAATTTAGAGAGGATGGGGTTTTGGGCGGGTTTGAAGAGAACACGGGTAGCGGATGAATCGGAATCGGGGGTAGAATCGGAACCAGAACCAGTACTGTGTGAGTAGTTTTCGGTTTCAATTTTTTGGAACCGATACTAGCGGTTCTGGTTCCGGTTCTAGTTCCGGTTCTTGTGTGTGGAGAAACCGGAACCTGTAAAAAGGTACCCAGTTTTAAACCTGTAAGGGGTACCCATTTGGAACCGATTTTTGGAACCTGTAGGGTACCCAGTTTGGTAACCGATTTTTGGAACCTATTTGGAACCTTTTTTGAAACCGGACTACAATGAATTTTTGTGAATGTGAAAATGGAGGGTTCTATTATTTACATATAAAAAATTTAAAATAGAAAAAGTTAAATTTTTAGAATACTAATAAATAAAACGAATACAATTATACTTATTACTATAAATTACACCATATTAAGCTTTAATATATTATAATACATTAATATTAGTTTTGATAATTAAGTGATAATTGGAATTATGATCCAATTAAAAGTGTTTAACATTTTAATGTTATTAATAGAATTATTTTGTAAATAATAGTATATTTGATTGAGTAAATATATTTAGTTTTTACTTCAATTATCAAGTTCTAAGTATATCTATAATAAATTAGTATTAATTAATTATATATGATAATTGATAAACATTAATAAATTTAATTACTAGTTAAATATCATATTTAATCATTATAACATACTTATAGTTAATAATTACTTAATTAATTATAATTTTATATATATTTAATTGATTTATAGTATATATTATTATTTGCATTACATTAAGATTACTACTTAATTATTGACTTAATAGTTATAACATTAGTAAACTTAATTAAATATTTAGAAATTTAATTATATAGCATTACATTATAGATTTATAGTAAATTACTTAGTCAATATAACATTTTATTATAAACATTAATACAAACTTAATTAAATAATTAAATTTTAATTAATTATAAATTCATTAAAAATTTGTAATATAATTACTTAATAGTTAATTCACTATAACTTACTTATAGTAGATTATATATATAATTATACATTACATAATTAAATGATTACTTAATTGATCATGACATTATTATAAATATTACTAATTACTAATTTACTACATAAACATTAGCATAATACTTATTAAATGCTTAGAAATTAATTAATTACAACATTACATTACGTAACTAATTGTATCATTACATTATAATTAAATTACTTAATAAATTATAATATTCTATTATAAACAAATTAATTATAATCTATATTAAATACTATAGTATGATTACTTATTCATTGTAACATTTCACTATTTCATTATAGTATGATTAGTTGATTACATATAATTATAATACATAATTAGATGATTATTAATTGACTATAACATTTATTATAACATTAATTAAACATTATACATTATTATATTATATTATATTATGATCACTAATTATTATATTACATAGTTAAATGATTACTTAATATTATAAAATAATTACATCACATTATAACATGTAATTTACTACTTATTATTTATTACATTACTTATTAAATGATTAAAATTTTAATTATATAATAACATTAAAGATCTATAATCTGATTACTTAATTCCTATAATATTACATATAGTATGAACACATAATTAATTATATTACTAATTAAATGATTACTATTGATTATAGTTATGATATTATGTTTTAAACATTAGTATTATAATTTACTACATAACATTAGCACATTACTTAATTAAATGATTAGAAATTTAATTAATTATAACATTACCTTATAAACTTTCATTATAACATTAATTAAGAATTACATTATATATAATAATACTCAATTAAATTATAACATTATTATATTACATTATATTAATACACTTACTTATTTATAGCATTACATAGTTAAATGATTACATAATTAGTTATGAATTTATAACATACATTATAAACTTAGAAATTACTATATTATTACATTGTTTAATTAAATGATTAAAAATTTAATTAATTATAACATTACCTTATATATTATATATATAATTACTTACTCAATTATAACATTCCATTATAACCATTAGTATATTATAAATAATTTGAAATTTAATTAATTATAATATATTAAATTAATGATTTATAGTATTGATTATTTATTCATTATAACATAACATTATAATATATATACAATACTTAATTAAATGATTACATTTAATTAATTATAATATTACATTATAATTAAACCCTAAACCCAAATAGCTATTTTGTTAGGGGTGTATTTGTAAACTTTTAAGGTATTTTTGTCATTTTTTAAACTAATAGGGGGTATTGTTTTTTATAGGTACCCCGGAAAGGAACCGAAACCTGCATTTTGGTTCTGGTTCCTTGAATTGAAGAACCTGCACTGCCGATTCCGGTTTCGGTTCCTTTTTTTGGGAACATGCTGTGCGGTTCCGGTTCCAGTTCCCTTGGAAAATGGAGTACCGAACCGCTCACCCTAGAAAGATGTTTGGTTGCAGATTTAGGGAGGTACATAGGGTACGAACCTGAGTTGTTAATCTATTTTGGTCCATGAAGTATGGCCAAAGCAACATATCCAGTAAAATCTGATATAACACTTAGGGCTCGTTTTGGTAGGTTATTTAAAAAATGTTATTTTGAAAAACTATTTGAATATGATAAGACATGATTGAATAAAAGGATAGGGTTCTGAGAATGTGTTTTATAATATTTGAAAATTATGTCAGAGTTGGATAAAATACTGAATAATTGTTTGGTATTTTATGAAACATTTTCTGAAAATATTAAATTTTAACTCCCTACATTTATTAATTTAGATAAACACCCTCACAATAAAACTTAAAATTTAACAAAACACCCCCATAATAAAACTTTAAAATTAAACAACCCCCCCCCCCCCCACCACAAAAAAAAAAAAAAAGAAAAATAAAGTTGTCAACGACGGCCAAAATATGCCTATCGCCAGGCAATCTGGTCATCAACGAAGCCGGTTTTGGCATAAATCTTGCCGAAACTATAAGATCTATGCATAACACTAAATCCAGCCGATTGTGCATCGCTTTGGCGGTGTTTGTTGGCGGTCGTCAGTGGCTTGGGTGGGTGGGGGTGTGTTTTTGTTAATTTTATTTTTTTTATTTGAAATGTAATTATTTTTAGTTGAATAAAGTTGGAAAAATTATAATAGGATAATAAAAAACATCCGACCCACTTTTCATTTTCAATAAAAAAAATCTTATTTGATTCGGATAATTTCCAAAATAATAATCACAAAAATAAAAAATACATATTCTTTTTTTTTTTTCAATCCAAATAGGATAACAGAAAATGATTCTAAAGAGTGAAAAAACAGGGGTTTATATTAGGGAAGGTGGCACCTTTCGTCTTTTATAAAAGTCTAAATACCCCTAATATTTTCTAATGTAAATGAAATTAAAATTAATAAAATTATAAAAACAAATAAATGGCTCCTAACTGCAATTTTGGTAAAAATTAAGAACAATTTCATTGATTTAAGAAAATAAAATTACAAATTAAGGATATGTTAGACTTAAAAAAAAAAAAAAAAAAAAAACCAAAGGTTTATATCTGATAAGAACCTAAATACTTGAGGGATCAAATGGATTTTTTATAGTGTAAGTTTTGTTGTATGAGATTAAGAGTTTTATAACAATTTCCTCTTCAAGGTTTAGAGAAAGTAACAAATGAACCAAGGGTTTCCAAAGGTATAGATGTACACAAAAGTCAATTACTTTTGAGTCTAGTTCTTGGTTGTGAAGATACATTGTTAGGTGTTCCCTTTTTTTTTTTTTTTTTCTGAAGTGTTGATAGATTGCTGCAAAAATCTGTTTTAGCACAATAAAATAGTTCCAGCATTTCCCCAAAAATGACAAAATCTTCTCCGCAAAATGTATAAACATGGACACTAATGAAGCCATGACAAATAAAGTGAAAATACGTTAGTCTCAGCACAAATACTGCACCCTTCTTAGAACTCAAAAGTAACATAATAAAGATATAGAGGAATATTGAAGCCACCTTTTCTTGCATCTCAGGAATTTGTTCATAGCCTGAACCCTCCTCTCCTTCAGAATCAGTCATCTCCTCACACTCAAACTCAACATGTTCTTCGATTTCTTCATCAGAGTCACTTAATTCTTCCTGTTCCATCACAATCCCAGGATTGGAATGATCACCGATATCATCAATGTTTCTAGTGCTTGGTAAATCTGACAAATGGCCACTTAAAACGTCCCTGCCATAATTTTCGCCATAACAGTAATGTACATTGTTAGTATGTTGAGTTTCCGTTCCCTGTCCAGAGTTTATAGCATTATTTGCTGAGCGCATAAGATTCTGTGAAGCCATATCCCTGCTGCCTAAAGCTCTCTTCTTTGTGGATGAAGAACTTAGATGGATCTCCAAGTCCAGGTCATTAGCTTTCTCATTAGATTTGCTTGCAGTTGAGGATACAGTCACTGAGTCACCATTTGCATTCTCACTTATTTTCAGAAGTGGGTGGAAATCAATGGCAGATGACGCTGTATTGGAGGACTCTTTGGTCTTCAAAGATTCATTAAAACAACCAACATGACTGACTTGGCGGGGATTGTGAAAAAGACTCAGATTAAGTTGAGGCTGATTTGCTGAAAAGAAACTAAAAGAACTGGAAGTACCAGTGCCAGTGTTCAGAGGATAATATGGCAGACGTCCATCTTCAGGGGCCTGGAATAATAAAGGATGCATCTGAAGATCTGACTCAGCACCTCTTTCATCCTCAACAACATGAGATTCTTCTAGGTGCATATTTCTGACACTTTCTTTCACTAAATTACTTTTATCTCTTCCAGTTTTTATTAAATGCGGAGTTCCCAACCTTACAAGATGAGATATTAGAGGAGCTGTACTTTTTTGTTCAGAACAGCCAACACCACTGCCAGTGACAGAAACATTAGCAGATGATCCACATTGGACACTTTTGAAAGCTGACTGTGAGATTATACGAACAGATGGTGGGAGATTAACAGGAGGCAAGTCTGGTGCTAATTTCACCAAGTGCGCCTTGTTGCGTCTACGAGCCCTATATGGTGGTAAACAGACTTGAGACTTATTGATTCTCAATGGATGGTTTTGGTGCTGTCCGGACCCATTAGGAAGAAGTTATCTCTAATGTTTAAACAAGAACGCCCAGAAACCTGCTATTGGGACCACCCGGTCTCCAGTCTGCCAAAAATGCCTCATGAACATAACCTTCATCTGCATATTCTATGTAATCATCTCCACTATTATTACCTCCACCAGCATTTTCACCTGAGGTCAGCAAAGAAATAAGTACGTAAAGATATCTATGAGAACATATCCTCAAGACCAATCAATTAGAAAGTTAAATTATAAGGCAAATAACCCAATTCCTAGCCCCAAGCCAAACTCCTTTAACTAGATACTAAACATTTCACACTCACAATTTATCTCTGCAGTAAACTCAAACAGATACTAACATTTTCACACTCACACGCCAAGGTATGAAAGCAATATAATTAACCTCATAAAAAGCCCACATTTGGTAGCTTTTTTATATTGTTATTACAGAATTCTCAGAAATATAACTCATGAACTTAATGCTCATTCTACTCACTGTTGCTATTATACTTGAGTTTATAAAATCATTAAAACATGATGAGGCAAGATCAAGATCAAACCTAGCTGGGAGAGGTCACGTACTCTATAGCCCAAGCAACAAATATGATGATATAATATGAGTGTGCAAATGTCTTTTATTCTTACAAGACACAAAAATAATAATTGTTTGACATATCAAAACTCTTAAATACATGGTATAAAAGAAACATGACTATATGAGTATCACAGGAAGATGTGAAGGATCAAAAGGCAATTTAAAAGTTCCTTTACTTCAAAAGGTAGACTAACTCCTTATCGCCAAGATGCCATTGGCCAAATCAGCAGTTCTGCACCTTTTCCTTAATTCATACAACCGCCTTTTCTCCTTTTTAGCAGCATCTTGCTTATAACACCTCTGAGTTCCAAGGGCATACGCCATTGCCGGCGTAACAAGGCTGGATCCCTATGCGGGACAAGAAATTTCCATACAGACACCCAATCAAGTTTAAAAACCTTCAATCCCTGGATAATTAAAGTTGCATTAAATTCACAGACTCTGAATAGGAGACAATCAGAAGACTCCATAGAAAAAGAAAAAAGCAGATAAAAAAGGCCCAATAAAATCACCTCTGAATACATTCTTCTCTTTGCAGTCAATGGAGAGGTTTTAAACCTCGAACATCCTGCATTGAATAATCAGAGTTTAAAAACATTTTCACCATCAACAAATTATTGCCCAACTGCTATATGATGATAAATACAGGTTCAGTTAATGCCAAACCCTTTCAGCCAAAAAATCTAATTAACCAGTCACTACTTGCAATATTGTACAGCATAACAATACCATCAGCATTTACAAAATCACACACCAGTATTGCCTTTTACCCATTCAACAGCTAGATGATTATTCCACTATTAAGCAGGCAGATCCAATCAGGCTGCTTAGAATTAACAGATTATGACAATATATCATTTCATCACTGGTATCTTTTGGAACAGACTTGTTTAAGTTCAATAGATAACAGCGGTATAATAAATTTTTGGTAATCATGATGTTCTTTAAAACATATGAAAAGAAATATATGAAAGTACGAGATAGAGAGAGCGATACACACAATTGAGTGAGAAAAGGTACAAACCTAGTGTACTTAAGAACTGAGATAAGAATAGATTAATTTTTTTCTTCTAAGCAGATATTATTATATACCTTAATGGGATTTCTGGTGCTTTAGATGAGCAACGATTTTTCTGCCTAACAAATATCTGCCAAACAAAGGAAATGTCAGAGTAAATACAATTATCTCCTATTTACAACAGTAATTCCAACATTAATTCAATCCCAAGAACACTACCTTCAGAATACCATTCGAAGAATATTAAACTGATAAACAATGCAAGTCTTGATCAGCAAGACATTTTAAAAGCTAAGAAGATCATAGTCCAACAACATCCATAATGGAAAAATGCAGCATGGAGTGACCATATCAATCCAACCAACCAAAAACTAAATTCCCTAAAATTAAAGCTCAACCAGAACATTTTACTCATCACAAAGAAATCACACCTTAACCAACATGAAAAGATAATCAGCATTTATAATTATTACCAAGGTAAAATACTAGCTCTCATAACTCAAATGGCATACTCACAGTTCTGGATCAACTAGAACATGCTATTTCACTCACTTTTAGTTGACAATTGAACATCTCTTTACACGTAGACACCAAATCAGTATCTCAAAAGGAATAATATACAGAATGTCACATTATATCAACAAGGAGTTGTGAACCACAGGGAGGGTTAGCAACATTCAGTATGCCATAAATGTCAATGTCCTCTATCATTAGACAACAAAGCAACAACGAAAGCAAAATGAGAGTTTCTCTTAATTATTCACAGCAAATGCTAAGGCTTTTCAAAGAAAAATTTCAAAGTATCACTGCAGTAAATTTATCCTTGAGTAGAGGAGTACCACACTTTTAATGGATGAAAAAAAAAAAAAAAACAATAGTGAGACCTTGAATGCTTCTAGAAAATAATGTTCATGAAATTTTAACTAGGAAGGGTCTTATAAATAGTACTATATATTAACATCATAAGCCACTAGCCAAATAATATTTTAGAAAGCTAGTCACCAGAACACCCCATTTCAGAAGTAAATACTACTTTTCTATACATATAGCAGTTTGGAGGGGGGGAAAAAGAGGAAGGCGACTTGCCTAGTCTTTGCTACGCATATTATTCCTTATTCCTTAGCAGAAAGTGCATGACTATGGACAAGCACATGAAATGACAAGTTTACAGTTTTTTTATAAATAAAAATTACCAGGAAATGTTGTACTTGTTATACAGAAAAAAGGTATAGCTACCTGATGTTTAGTTTTGCAAGGAAGAAAGCGTTGCTGAATTGCCTTCCAGTCTGAATTATATTCCATCATCCCCAGTGCCAACAATCTGTATTAAATTTCATATAACAGAAAAAATTAGAAGAAACGGTTTAGCAAAGAAGTCAGTCAATCACCAAAGAAAAGGCAAAGAAGCATGAAACTCACTCATCCTCTGCATCAGTAAAAAGCCCCGATTTGCAATGGCCATAGAGGGTGGCTTGTGTGGAATAATGATGGATTAAAAAGGGAAAAAACCTCTGCACTAACTTGGAAATTTCCTTAGGGACTAAAGCAACTGATTGCTTTTTGTACTTTCGACAAGTGCAACTGCCAGTGACTTCTTTGTTGGTTGCTCACTGGGAGAAGATGGTACTGTGTTGGTAGATGAGGGAGTTTTTTCTTTGAAGCTTCAGCATTAGCTTGAGCAAATGATGTAAAAGGAAAAGGGAACAAAGGTTCTCTTTCAAGCAAGTATCAGAACTGAATTCCAAACAACGTTTTCGATACTCTTGGATGGCTGTCAGAAAAATAATTAATCAATGTAACAATTTCAAAAGTGAACCTGACAAAAAGCAAATCATTGCAAAATCATGAAGAATAAATTTGATACTTCTACATGACATACCAGTATAAACTTCGTCCAATATTTTCCAGCTAATTTAAGGGAGCTACATCCAGAACAGATAGAACCGGACCACTTACTGATGGCACCAAAAATAGCCCTTTAAAGTTTGAGAAGATGAATCAAAGGCGCTTTGTCCTGGGCCAAACTGGAGGACTGTATCTGGCACAGATGAACAAGTGTAAGGAGGACGGAAGTAAATATCAGGATACGGCTCACTTCTGAATGCTATTGCTTCATCACGTTTGTGAAGCATCTCAAAAATCAATCCTTGAGCTTGGGAGGCAATATGCTGGCGAGAAGAATCAAGAATAGAAAGTGAAAACACTGAATAAGAAGTTGCACATGCTCATGCATTAAACAGTGCAACTGGGCTATCTGATGTGGAGTGAGCCATTGATTAAGTATCTTCTGCTGTGAAGATATGCAGGTTGGAGCAGTCCCAGGTATCAAAGTTTTCCCATTAACAGAAGGGAAAGGGACAACTGGCAGTACATTAGGCAAAACTGGTAAGAGGGGACGCAATGGCCTCTTGTCTGTTCTAGAAGCTTCTTTTTATATTGTGCAGAGGCTTTTTGGCGTCTATTCTGCCTAGTCTCTGGCCGTCGTCCAGCGCTCACTTTTTCGGTTTCTCTGTTATACCTTCATCATAGTCACTCTCAAGCATCTCTTCAAGTCTATCTAAATTGCATCAATATCTCATCTTCATCATCATATTTTCATTCCCTTGGGTTGACAGCATCACCATCTTCACCCTTCAATACAGCAGCAAGGAACTTCCGATACTCTTCTTCATCGTCAACATTTTGAAGGTCATCATCATCATCTGTTTCCTGAAGAAATGCCTCAAGCTCATCAAGTGTGAAACTTGCAAGTGAATACCGGCCTAGTGCGCCTACAGATGGCATCCTCATCATCTAAATCCATCATGGGCTTCAACAAGTTTGTAGTATTACCCAGATCTCCTACCATGCCTTATAACCTCAACCCACTGCTTATTGAGTCATTCTCCTTTTCCCAACAGCTTCTGCTTCTGATTGAGAGATTAATAAAGATTTTCTCTTCTTAGTTTTTCTAGGAACATCCATTCTGCGTTCAGTTTTTTCACATGGTCCTTTAGAAGAAACTTTCGCTTGCATCGTGATTTCCTCCTCAGCATGGTCAGAATCTCCAAATTTCAGAGCTCAAGCTTGAAGAAGCTTCTGGTGAAGGAGTTCTTTCAAAAGGGATTAAAATCTACATCTTCTTCCTCATCCTCTTCTTCATCCTCATCCTCAGGATTCATGGACCTATACTGGCATCTGGCGGTGTATCATGTTCACTAACACACCCAACCTCAGTCAATTGTTGATTTGCAGTCAAAGGCATTTTGGACAAAGAAATATACTAATAGCAGATAATAACTTCAAAGATGTCTATAATTGCTAACAGATGCAAGCATCCATGAGAAGACAATCAAAGCATCACTTGCCACCCTGAACCAAGTAAAGAAAGCATAAATGAACAACAATTTGTAAAATACACCA